CACTTTAAATCTGACCTTTCTTCCTACTGGATTTGGATCATACCCAATAGTGGCCTCATCAACAAAAACTACCCACTTTCCAACTCTTGTCCAATTTCTCCTCTGACTAGAAAAACTGCTTTCTCTTCTCCTTCTGTCCTTTTCTCTGAAAAGGCTTTTTTCTTGGTATTTTAAGCTTAAAACCAGCTTCACTATAGATCTTATTGAGAGTATCTTTTCCAAAACCAACATTATTCTTTTGAGCAATATTCCTTAGTGCTAAATGAGGTTCAGCATCAATAATATCAAGTATGATCTTCTTTTTGGTATGAGTTAAATTTGTTTATCTGCCAGCTCTAAGAGCCTCATGGGTGTTGCCATCATGGTTATCAGCCTTTTTTATCACTGTGAAATCAGTTGAGTTGGAAAGCTTCAGAAGCTTGGAAATTTTATTATATCCCATATCTGTATGTTTATACAGGACATAAATTTCTCAATTTCTATCTTCTCTAGCACAGTGGGAGTGTAGTGGTACCATAGCAGTCAGGAGTTGTTCTGGTAATTGTGAATTTAACCATTGCTACACAGGGGTACGGAAGCTTATTAGACATGAGTATACAGTCATGTCCGGAAAGTAATGATACCTGTGCGAAATTCAACCATGTATACCACTTGAAACCTAATACCACAAAAATAGTTGAGAAATAAATTCAATTAAAAGATATTGTAAAATATAGATAATATAGTTTGTTTTTATGAAATATTAGAAGTTTCTATTAGTAAAATGGTTCAATGAAGTACAAAGTTTAAATAACCTGTAAAAATGGACTAAAGAAATTATGCTTGATTTGTTATTTTTTTTCTTTACAATCTATCGTAGTAATAATATAGCAATATGTCTACACTATATTTAGATAATCAGGAATCAGGATTTTTGATGTAAGTCAAAATTAAATTACAAATGAAATATCAAACTATGATTTCATAAAGTTGATAATTTTGTTTAAAAACAGGTTTGATTTATTTCTGATTTCTGACTATTAATAGCTAATTATTTAACATGAAAGTTTATTATAATATATAGAAGATATATAAAAGTATATAATATAAATTTTATCTTAACAGAAGATACTTTCAGTTCTCAGTGCAAGAAATTAGTTAAATTTATGTAAATTTTATTGCCTTTAATACAAGTTGACATTCTACTTTCAAAAAAAAATTAATATTTATTTATAATATCACAATAATAACTCCATTTCTCTTACTTAATTCTATATTATCCCCTAGACAGTTGAGGGGGTTTGGTAAAAGTTCTCTCATGCATTAGTACTTACAACTAGGTTAAGTATGGCTAGTATGTACATGATTTTTAAAATTGAATATTTGCCACTGCCGACAAGCATAACTATTAGACAGCTTTACCAAATTTCAACTTTCCTACTCTGCGCCTTGAGCCTGGTTGAAAAATTTATGCCATTGAAGAAAGCATAGACTCAGACAGTTCTTATTAGTACCACAAAGTGCAATTGGAGGCTCGCATTTTGAACATTGACATTGAGTAAGTTTTGGCTGACAATGTCCTTCTGTTTTACCTAACCAGAAATTATATCGACAGATAGCACACTCCCTTCGCTTGTGACCTGCAATTTGAAGTAGGGTATGATCTAGTGACTGAGAACTGGTTGTAGCTATCATGGGAGTAGTTTGTGAGCTGCTACTACTGTGGTTTGTAGCCTGTACCGATGCCCAGGGTTGACAGAGGTTGCTGTATTTGGTAAATAACAAGTGGGTGGTTTTTAATCTGTAATACTGAGTAAACCGTGGCCGAGTAGGTATTCTTGTGGGGGTATGGGATTTAGAGTGTTGGCATGAGTGATTAGATTGGTGAGAATCAGTGTTGGAGTTGGAATTATGGCAATTCGAAAGCTGTCAAAATAGAGTTTGACAAAACAACTCTGCAGAATAGGCTTGGGCATGTGGATGCAAGAGCAAATCAGATGCTTGCAGCTGATGGGAATCAAGTAGCTAATTAAGCTTCTGATTTCGTGCCATCTGAAATAAGACATATGCATTCGTGATAGATATTTCAATAAAAAAAAACAGAAATGCTAACCTATTTCGCCTCACTCTCTGATGGGTAGTATATGATGCACGGTGTTGATTAGCAAGATTCACACTATTTATATGAATATTATAGTCATCAATAATTGTGGGAATATAGCTAGACCTCCTTTCATTTTCACCAAATTCTCTCCAGACCATTGTTGCATTAGAGCTAGTAGAACAAGGTTTCCACCGTATTGTCCATATAAGCTCATTCCATGGATGAACAGTAAATAGAATTCGGACAATATTGTTGTCCATCCAATGAAGGCATAAAATACCTGGTTGTAATATTGTACTATGAACAACACACCCATCCATTGTATTCCAATCAACGAGCTCATCATTGGACTTTAAAGATAGAGGATATTTGGACACATTAATGCGTATTGTACCACATGCCCCGATACTAAGCTCTCAGAGCTTTTCAAAAAGATGTATGGTAGCAAAACCATTATCCATATAGATCATATGGTGGCTGGTATGTGGTATGGGAGCATTCGAATATGTTACTGGAAGACCTCTGCAAAGCGGAATAACTGCGGAGCTTGTATGCGATAGATCTGACAGTCGAAATAGCTCTGCAAATGACTTTCTGCAAGAAAAATGTATCTAATTAATTGTATATCTAAAGGCACTCTCATATTAGGATCCAAGATTAAAGATTATAAGGTTAAATTTACTAAGTAGTCTTGGAAACTTACCCCTCATAACATACCACTCTAACTTTATAGCCAACTGGAATTGGCTTGCTGGAAATTTGTACTGTATGTTGACTACATCCTGCAAATTGAACTATCATCTCATCAATAGAGAGATGCATTCTGTGTTGGAAATATTCCTGACTTTTTGCCCTCAAATGACTATAAAGTGGTTCAAGCTTTCTCTATCATAGTAGGTCCGAATTAGCATGCAAGACACTACATGGGGGATCAGGCATCGATCTATGGATATAGCGTTTAATTTGACAATACCGACAGAAACTTAAAGCAAGTCTTCCTTGCAAAACACCTCATTTCCAATATTGACTTCTACTGGATCAATGTACAACTCCTATCATAATCGTCAGACCTAGAAACTTGCATAACTCGATACTGGTCACTGGGTGTGACCATCCAGATCCTCCTTTCCCTTGTTTCTTTTAATTCACATAAGCATTTGTCCTACCTACTACTTGACTCAGAATGTGACGATTCCAAAACAATTCAAAAAATGCAATTAGAGTTAAGTCAATATTCTCTGGGACAAGTAATTCTTGCTCACTTTCCGTGAAGTCTAAATGGCTGGAATGTTTCTGGAGGAGCCATAAAAGTATATACATTTGAAGTACTAGAGTTTGGGCAATCCTGTTTGGGCTTCTTTCGTTTTGATTGTTGTTGACAATTAGATCGTGAGGACTTTTGAGCATGCTTCGAGGACATCGTTATTGGATTCTCCGGGCTGTTCGAAGTTGCAATTTTCAAGTAGTATTTACTGATCACATAGAAAAAGCCTCCACCGATATGTGACGTTGAGAGGTATGTTGCTACTAGCTATTGAAGGTTTAGTCCTATGCACTAATGGATAAGAGAACTTTTACCAGACCCCATCAACTGTCCAAGGGATAGACAGTTTTTGGATTAAATATTTAAGTTAATAGTTAAACTTCAAACATAGCTTTTTGAGTAATTTATACTGTTATCAGATAACATGGTTTCAACCATGACCTTTTAGTATAAAACAACCTCTAATTAAGGCCAATTTTATTTTACATATTATTTATAAGATATACTTCCTCCCAATAGTAGTTTTGAGATTGGGTATAGTGTTTTAGAAATAATAATCACATACTTGGATCATTGCTATTTCTATTGATACTTATATTATATGTTTACTACTTTGTTATATTTATCTCAAAGTATTAGATTCAAAATAATCTCTAAGATTTTAAGTTACTAAAATAAAAGAAAATATGTTCTAATTATAGTGTGGAGAGGTGGATTGAAATGATAAATATATGCTTTTTGAGAAGATTTGAGTCTATATTACCAGTATATATCTTATTATTAAGAACATACTTATATGACAAAATGTGCTATTTTTTTATAGATATTGTTTTACTTTAGTGGGTATACTTTTCCAAAGTAATTTTTTTGATTTTATTTACTATATATTTTGCTCACCAGGAGTGGATAATTACAGTGGCCTTGGAGGACTTGGTTGCCATGGAGGGGTATCATTACTTTCCGGACACGACTGTACCTCTTTACCACCAATCTGGGCATCTGACAGACATCCTGGCACTTGTACAGTCACCAGGAATACCCCTATATTCCTATACATCTTGCCTGTTACTTGTACAGGTTTTCCGCGTGCACCGAGCACCCCCGCCGTACATTACTCGTACACTACTCGTACAGCGCTTAGTAAAAAAAAAAAAACAGATTTGTTTTTCATCGTCAACTATCTCGCTCCTTGGAACTGATCTCAGACCTAATCTGACACGCGCCACTATTGAAATAAGGAGGTTTCCCCAGGAAACGTACTAGTGCCAGTACGAGGACTACCGTAGTACTCCTACATTGGTTCTTTGCCGATGTGGTACCAGAAGGAGAAGATCGATGGATCAAACTGAATGGGCGCTACCGTTACTCCAGTGTCTGAGTACGGTATCGTATCGTAGAGAGAACAGGTTGCGGAAGGCTTTCAGCAAAGGGCAGGAGCTGGGCGGTGCACTCGTGGACAGGACGAGTACCGGTAGAATGCCGTAAGTTACCGGTATGTCCACTCAGATGTTGAGGGCGACGGCTGAGAACCATGGGAACTTGTTGGGGGGTCAACAACGAAAAAAGAAGGAATGTCTCACATCTCCTTTTCAGTCTTCCCGCTTTTCTCTACTTCTCCCTGTTCTGTTCTCTCCCTCCTGTAAAACTCCAGAAGGGACCCACCGATCGAGAAATCTACATTTCCCAACGGTACACTATTTACAGTAAGCTACCCTACGGTACGCGTCTTGATGGAAATCATGTTTTCACCACTCCTCCTATCCGCATTTCTCTTGTACAACCCGGTCCGTGGTGTACTAGTACCACGGAGTGTTGAGCCAACACCTACAAAACCATCACTAGTCACGCTTGTAGTGGAGATCACTCCAGCTCCGGCGATGCCACCCGTCGCGGCCGAATTACTTCGTCGGGGTTCGAATCCTGCAATAATCCCCAAGGATGATTCGGATTTGATGAGACGTCAAGCCTGTGGTGCCTATTATGTTACTTGTGGGAGTGGGAGTTGCTGTTATCTTGGCCAGGAATGTTATAAGAATTCCGCTGGGGGAGATAGTTGTCGATATCCGTAATTCCTCCTATACCCCTCTGTTTTTTTCATTCATTCATTTTTTTTTTTTCATTGTTTCAATTTTTTCATTTGAGTGATCATTGTTGACTGGATTACAGCGATGTGATGGACTATTCGTCACTCCTAGCATCATTAACGGCGATTTATGGAGGGAATTCGTTCGGTTATGATGCCGGGGTATACTCCAGTATTTACTCTTCATATCTGGATCTTCTCACGGGAGCATATTCTTTACCCGGCGCGAGTAACCCGACCATGGGGCATAACCTACCTGTTAGCACCGCCAGAACCGGGTCATCAAACTCCAATTCCGGCTCCGCTAGTAGCTCCAGTTCAAGTAGCACCGGCTCTAGCACTAATGAAAAGAAGTCCAACACGGGCATGATTGTTGGGATAGCTGTGGGCTCAGCAGTAGGTTTGGCCATCATAGGGGCCATAGTCTGGTACTGCCGCCGGAAGAATCGTGTGCCAACTCCGGTTTCTTATCCTGTGGGCATGGCGCAAGGAGGTACTACACCGTTCCAACAATACCCACAGTCACAGCAGGTGTACGCTGCTCAGGCTTCTCAGGTCGATATAAAGCCTCCACAAGTGTACCAGTTCCAGCAGCAACCATTCGTAACAGAGATTAGCGGGACAGGAATTGCACCGCAATACCAGGTGCCTCCAGGGAACGCGTTTTATGCTGTGCAGAGTACAGGGTATCAAGGGCCTGTGTCTCCGCCATCGCAATCACTCGCTCAGGAGATGAGTAGTGATACACAATTATACCCGCCCCAACCCCACCAACAGCAACCGCCATATGGTCTTCCGAGCAATGGGACGCAGGGACCACCTGCTGAGATGGATTCGGGGCAACGGGGATAGTGTGAATTGTGGGTTGGATAAGAACCCGTACATTTCCTGCGGAGTTGTTTGACACTTTGATTTTTGAGATTGGGTATTAGTGGCGCTGGGTTTTTGTCTTCCCTTGGTTATTCTAGAGGGGAAGGGGAACTGTGGATTATGTCGAGGTTCTTGATATCTATGTATCTGGATTCATTTGGCTTAGGTTCTGTTTGAGCTTTGAATTATGCTGTTTGACACCTGACGAGTGCAGAAGTAGTGTGAGTGATAATTAGGGGTGGGGGGGCGGTGTCTTGGTCAGAGCTGGTGATTTTTGGCTGGGTATGTCCCATTTGACCTTTATGATGCTATAATAGGATAGGCTCGAGCTGGAGCTTGGGTTGGAGTTGATGTCAATTCTTCAGAGTTATGTCAGTTGCTTACTCGTGCATGTCTCGGCAGTTGCGGATCATGGTTGTGCTTTCGGGTCTCAAGGCTATTTCTCAGCACGCCAACAATCTCCTCTGGCACCGGGACATGTGAATTACCGCAAGTTCGCTTGTTCGGCATCTTTGTTTCCACCTGCGCATTACACCGTGCCTTACTAGCATCGCCTCTCCCTTAGTAGGAACACAAACCATTCCTCCCCTTCCTTCCATCCTCCAATCTCGTTTTTTAGACCGAGATTTTAGCCCCTGGGTCTCCAGACTCGCATACCAATCCTTAAGTATTCAGCCGGGTGTGATAGCTGGCAGCGCACCGGCAAATTCTGGGAAGTGATATAGAGCTGAAGTCCAGACAACTCACGATAATATCCTAACCTATCCACTCGAGTGGAAGTTGGCGGCTTGCCCTCATTCTCACCCTTTCTTTCCCAGGCCCTTCCACCCTTACTGTCAGTTTGCTGTCGGGGCTGCTGGCGTATTATCTTACCCGTATTGGAAACATGCAATTGCAAGTGTTTGATCATTGTGGATCACTCGGGGTACCCCGCTATTCTGGGAGGTGGAGCAGGTGAGTGATTCGTGAGTTTACCGGGTGACTAGTCGCATGCGCAGCTAATTCCTGAAGGTGAAGATCTGGAGAACAGTCAACTAGACAGGCGCAGTGCAGAGATTGTCCTATTCCCAGGTACCTCTCCCTGTTCCCAACATGAACTGTGGGGCGATTTCACCCGTTGTATGCACTTCTATTCTTTCGATGACGATGTCTGGTGACTGGCGTCCTTGTTACCGGTAATATGATATAGTGAATGCGAGGGTGTTGCTCTTGAGTTCTGTCAAGCAGATCTATTGGATGTTCCGTGAAGCCGCCCTGTCTTAAATGCTGGATGAATCACGTGATGTAGGTTTATTTGATTGGAAGATCTTTGGCGGATGGTTCATAACGAGTTTTGATAGGCTCGATAAGGCAGCTCTTTATTTTTTCCTTTTTTTCTGCTTCCCCCCCCTCCCTACTCGAATACTCAAGTATTGCGTAGTTATTAACTTTATGTTTTTTTGCTGCTGATAATTGCCCAACTTGCGGGGCTGCGAGACGCCAAGGACTTAATTCTGTCCTGCCGCCAGCAAGACCCTGCACAACTTGATATGTATGATACTCTATTTGGTATCTGCTGAGCCAGGAGAGATCAGTGAGTTTCCCCGGAAAAAGAAGATCGGCCTGAGTCTAACCTACCAACCCCATACTTTTGTGGTTAATAAAAATGATTGAGCCCCCTCAGACATGGAGAACATGATACAATGTCCAGTGCAAGGTAGCCACGCACCCTCTCGAGGATTCTGTATCCATTGCTGCCACGGAACTGGAACTCCAGCCGCAACAGCTAATCGGCTTTTAACGTGCCATCCGATACGTCAATTTTTGGGAGAAAAGCGTTCACACAGCAGCACATTGACCATGAGAAGGACTTTCCTCCCTTTCACCATTTTGAACTGTTGATATTCTTTGGTCGCCCTTGCACTATCGGACGACCACTACTCGGACCCACTGAACCCTGATCGAATGGCTCCACTATCTGCACGGGACATTGCTCATTCACCAAAGCATATTAAAATTATCTTTGGCATTTTTACTGCTGCTTTAGCCTTACTGGTGATGCTTGGGGCTTATTTCTGTTGGAGGTATTGGCCATTTGGGAAATTGCCGAGGATTATGGTTGCTACTGGAGGACGACATGAACGCTGCAGAGGCTACAATGAAGCTGGGGATATCGAAAGCAACTCGGGATCCTCTGTCGGCCCTGAAACAGATATAGCGCAATCACCCTTGGCTTCTCCGTCGGCATTTGGAGGGAATGGGGAGAAGGAGTTGATGGAGCCCGAACCTGATACTGCCAACTACCCTCATCCTGCTGACGCGGAAACTCGCGATGCATCATCTGAGGTTGGCGAACTATCGCGAGCGGCCCGCGTTTTACAATTTGTTAGAAGGCCTTCTTACTTCTTCCCCTCGCCGGCGCCTGAGATCGCATGTATGGTCCCACGGGAGGGGGATGGATCTGATGCCCCACCGCGCACAGCTCCACCAACTCTAACCCTCACCCTTCCTCCTTCGACCATTAACTGGGGAACGTACGATGCATCGCCGGTAATTTGTGCTAGTCCGGCTACTACGATACCATTCACCCCGTACTCTGAACAGCCCAGCTGTGCGGAGACAGATGTTACCGTCGCGAACTTTGAGCAAGAACTCGCCAAGAACTCTCGACATAATGGCCCAGGGGAGAGGCGGAAACGACTGTCCGTCCAGAGCCAGAATAGCGGTCTCAGTCTGATCAGTGGGGATAGCGCTAGGGTTAGCTTGGCACAAGTTGCGACGAAACCGAAGTCGAAACCCAGGATTAGAGTTATTGGTGGGATGTAGGGGTGCACTGCCTCCGTCGCTGGCCATCCCTTTATTTTTACCCATTGCTGCAGGTTTGTACCCATAACCACTGCACACTCTCACCTCTGGAAACGAAGTTTGTTGATTTTCTTTTTCCAGGCCAGCTATATTTTTTCCAATTACGGTACAGTGAGCTCAGTCAAGGATTTATGAGTGCTGCTACATTTGTAGAATGGGTTCTTTCCATCGAGCTGTGCTCACGATGGTCTTCAAGGTTGACTCTTGAGTCTATACCCTCCTGCTACACTTGCCAACCTATATCTACCGGGGACGGGACATCGCTGAAGATTTGTGTAAATTTACCTAGTCCTGGAGCTGATACCCCTCCGCCCTGACATAACTGACGGGGCTACCAATCGACATCTGCGACACGATACAACTATCGCACTGGATTCACTATATATTTCCATACTACATATGATACTTATCTCACTTTCGTTTCATGTACCTACCTATTTTGGTTTTGACTATTTTTCTTCTTTATTTTCATTCATTCATTCCTTTGGAGTTGGGGAATGGCGTTGGTTGGCTGGTTTGGCTGGTTTCTCACATGGTTTACGACTCACGCTATAATGTAGTATTTGATGGTACGATAATCTATAAATCATGGTGTCCACCTACAGAAGTGTGCTTGCTTGCTTATCTGGCTGTGTGGGGCGTAGGATTAGGGTAAACTTGCGAAGTTCGAAAAAGCGATGGATGGTATAGTGAGTTGGGAGAAAGTAGGCAGGCTTGATTGCGGGCTCTATGAACCTGATGTTACCAAGTTTGTGGATAGCAGCTACAACCCCTAGTTGCACAGTTTCTTGCAATCTTGGGCACTGCTCCAGAGTGCCTGAGAGTTCATGACTTTATGGCTCAACCTGGGATTGTGGCTTACAATTATAATTTGATTGCTCAACTTGACTTTTTGGCCCCTGATAGCAATTTGGTAGGTTGATCCAAACTTGTAGCTTAAGTAGAGTATTGTCAGTAATATATTACTACAAGGAATGCCATGGAGCTTCATGAATGGGTGAAAGAAATGCGCAGAAAAGGTCTTATTTTCACATTATGATTTTATAATCAGATAAAATATATTTTAAAGATAAACATCAGTAAAAATTTATCCTTAAGCTCAAAGCATTCTCAGCATTAGATGCACAGGATGCTCAGAAAATTAATTGCGAATTAGGTTGCAACATGGCATCCTAAGGACATTAGGATGCAATAGTGTTGCCACAGAACTCTCAGGATACAATGAGATGTAATACTAAATCACCAAGTGGCAACCTGATGCTGCACTACATCTACCAGACGAAACATAATAATCTAAGAGTCCCTCCTTTACAATTGTGTAACAAAGGTCACAATAGAGGTTTCAATTAAAATTTAACATTATAATTTATTATAGAACTAATATATATCGTAATGGCATACTAGTAGCCAGAAAAGAGTTCTTTTATTACAGGCTGTAACTATACCTATTATACTGGTAGAGAGTCATTATTTACACCATTGGAAAGCTGGCCTCAAGTAGATCTATGGTGTACAGTATCGGATATCACCTATAAAGTGTGCCTAGAGAATCTGGCATCAAAGTTAGTTCATATTTAGGACCTGACTAGAAACTCTCCAGAAATGATACCATCTTTAATTCATTGTAACTCCATCAATATTGTTAGTGAGTGGAGATTTAGGATACTGTTAGAAAGCTAGCATTGAGTAGATCTATGCTATATAGTACTAGATATTGCATCTAAAGGGCACTCAAGCAATCTGGTATCAAATTCAGTACATATTCCTTCTTTAATATGTTGTAACTCTATTACTATTACTGGTGAGAGAATGTTCAAGACACTGTTAGAAAGCTGGCGTGAAGTAGGTCTATGCTGTATAGTATCAGATATTACATCCAGAGGACATCTGAGAAGTCAGGTGTCAAATATAGCATATTGACAAAGTAAAAACCCTCTCCATAATAAGCTGTAGGTCCATCAATACTGATAATAGGTAGACGTTCTCTGTACCATTGGAAAGCTTGAATTGAGTACATCTATGCTGTATAGTATCGGACATTACCTCCAATGGACACCTGAGGAATCTGGTATTAAGTTCAGCACTTCACCAAAGGAAATACTCTATCTATAACAGGCTGTAAGTCCACCAATACCACTGGTGGGGAGATGTTATTTATGCTATTAAAATGCTGGCATTGAGTAGATCTATGCTGTATAGTATCAGATGTCACCTCTATAGGACCCTGGAGAAATCTGGTATCATGTTTAGCACTTGGCTAAAGTAAACAGTACTTCCATAAAGGACTGTAACTGCACCAACATTCCTGGCAGGAAGACATTCTTTATACTATTAAAAAGCTAGTGTTGGTTAAATTTGTGCTGTACAGTATCGGATATCAAGTCAAAAGGGTACCCAGAGAATCTAGCATCAAAGTTATAACATAGTCAGTAACTTGACTAAAACTAGCTACAATAGAACTCTTCTTTAACAGGTTGTTACTCCATCAGTATTGCTGGTAAGAGGACATTTAGGATACGGTTAGAAAGCTGGCTTGATGTAGGTCTTTGCAGTACAGTATTGGATGACACATCTATAGGACATCCAAGGAATCTGGTGTCAAGGTTAGTGCAGTTGTGTCTGAAAAGTCTACATACTCCTACTTGGCAATACTGTAACCTACGATCACCTCAACATCACCCCCTACTACAGCACCACCATACTCCCAAACCCTCGGAGAAGACCAGAAAAGGGAAATCTATGCCCTCTATAAACATACTGATATGGACTATAGTAAAATTTCAAAGCTTATGAACCTTTCCAAGTCAACTATTTCAACAGCAGTCTAAAATGGGAAATTCAGGGATGGAAACACCCATAATGCCCACAGATCTGTCAGACCAACCAAGATTACTGATGCCAAAAGGCAAATAATTCTTGATATTATTGATACTGAACCTTATTTAGCCTTAAGTGACATTACTCAAAAAGCCAATAGTAGACTTGGCAAAGATTGTCTTGGTAAGATATTCAAAGAAGCTAGATTTAAGCTCAGAATACCTAGGAAAAAGCCTTTCTGGAGAAAAGAACAGAAGGAGAAAAGAAAGGAGTTTGCTAGAGTGAGGAAAAACTGAACAAGAGCTTGGAAATGTGTGGTTTTTGTGAATGAAGCAATAATTAATTATAATCTAAATCTAGTAGGAAGGAAGGTCAGACTTAGACCTGGTGAAGAGTTAGAAGAAAAGAACTTAAAGCCTAGCTTTAAGTCAGGACACACCAACATAGGTGTAAATGCTGCAATGATGCATTGAGGGAGGACTGAGCTCATTCTTGTAAAGAAGAGGACTGAGGAGGAAAGAACTAGCCAAAGAAACAGACTTGGTCTTAATTCCTACCAATATGCAACTGAGATTCATCAATCCTACCTCATTTCCTTCATAGACGCCATAGACAAAGCTCCTCAAACTATCTGTATGGCTGCTGATAATCCATCATGGCATAATGGAGCAGAAAACAAGAAATTGCAAGAGGACTATAGATATCAAAGATTGGCTTGGTCTCTCAACTTACTAGATCTTAATCCTATTGAGAATGCCTGAGCAATTCTCAAAAGAGCACTCAGAAAGTGATTCTCCAAGGTTGAGAGAAGGCCTCATACCGCTACTGAATTATTTCAGGCAGTAAAGAAAGAGTGGGACCTCATTCTCCAGGGGACATTTGATGAATGGATTCCGAGAATACCTGAGAGACTTCAGGCTATAATAGATGCAGATGGAAGCCATACAAAATGGTAGTATGGGGAAACTGTTTTTTTCTATTTCTACTATTATCTATTTTAAAATTGTACTGATATATATTTTTTGTTATGGTCATTATTATTATTTGTAGTGGTAGTGCAGTTGCCATGAGGGGTAGGTAGACTTTTCAGATGCAACTGTACAGAGTCAGTACCTTGATAGAAAGAACTACTTCTATAACAGGCTGTAACTCTATCTATATTACCAGAAAGTTGACATTTATGATACTGTTAGAAAGCTAGTATTAGGTAGATACACATTATGTAGTATTAGATGTTGCATTTATAGAATACCCAAGGAATTAGGCGTCAAAGTCAGTATATTACTAAGATAAACAAGTTGGACTTATACCATGATAATAAAATATAGAGTGGCTAATATATGAGGATATTTATTACAATAGAATTCAGTAACTGATCTATTAAAGTGCTAGTATTAGGACTAGTCGAAGTAGTTAGGAGGTATAAGTAGTTGCTGTATATTTTATATAGCCCTAGTTTAGATGTTTAGGAGCACATTGTGAAAAAGTTACTGTAAAGTTACAACAAACTAGATATACAACCTGAGCATAGCTATCACTCAGATTCCAAGCAGAATGTAAATCTATTTTCCTGTATTCAATCTTGTAAATCTCAAATACAAAAACCTCTATTTTGAAAAATAAAATTAGCTAGAGAGGAGCATGACTTACCAAGGTCTAGCTAAGAATAGAACTTGGCAAGATAAGCTAGGGATACATATACATGTTGTAGTTCAGGTTAGAGGTAGTGTGAACTTGTATGGATCAGAATGCAGAGATATTATACAGGATAACCTAGGTGTTGACCAGGTGCATTGTAAAATCATAACTCAAGTAAGTAGCACAATTAGTGTCAGGAGAGATCAGGATGAAGATCTAATATGACAGCACATTTGTGCCTAGTAGGTCTTGTGTGTTAATCTCAAATTACTTGGATGCCAGAATTGGTTACAATTAATGGTCAAACACATCAGGTACAGAGGGTGTAAAAGTAATATTGTTTGTACCTTGGTACGACAGTACTGCACCTGATACAAAATTTCATTTGATGATAAAATAGAAATAAGTCATAAAAATATATTAAAGAATACGTAATCTGTGTTCAAGATGGCTTCTCAATTGCTCTCAAGATATATTCATTTAACAAGTAACAAGTCTTGTCAGAGAAGTAATACATATTATTACTTTCTTCCTTTCTGATATAGTGACTGTCTTGTAGGTGTCACCTGTTGCTTAAGAAAATACTCTTATTTTCTTAAGTACTCTCATAGCAACTATCATTTACTATACCTATTATGGGTTTTTCATAAGAGTGAAATGTGAGTCATGAATATGAGGTAGTATTGGAAAAAATATATATTAGGAAATAACTTAGGCAGTTGTGTGAAAATCTATCTAGAAGACTGAACCCAATACCTTATATACAGTAACTCAGCAGAAGTGTTCATGATCAGAGATAATGTTTAATTATGGTTACTCCATATGGTAGGGCAGTACCAGTGGGATTGTCAATGGGTGTGCAGGTGTGCGAGTTCAAGTTTATGATTAACAATCACAGATACCTCTCAACATTCAACGGTCAATTGACCTGCCATAAATTAAACTAGCTAATATTTTGTATAACCTCCCCTTGCTTCTAAAAATGCAGCCACCCTATTAGTCCTTGATTTCCACAACTTCTTGTAATGACGACTACCTCTGGGAAGATAGATCTCAAGGTTGCGATGGTACCGAAATGAATTCTTCGGCAAAGTGAACAAATATAATAAATGTCAAAAGTCTCAACAGTAGAGTTTGAAGAAA